AGGATGGCAAAGGAGCGGGTGAAGAGCACCCGGGCGAAGCGGGACCAGCGGAGCTGCAGGAAGCCCTGGAACACGGCAGAGCCCGCACCCTCGCTGTGCCTGCCCTGCCGTGTCAGGGCGGCCCCCAAACCCTGGCTGGGAGGAGCATGGGGGGGCATCTCCCTCTCCTTCGTGCCAGGGCACTGAGTGAGCTCTTGCAGGGCTGCCGGGCCCCACTAGGTGTCAGCTCCGACTCGTTAAGAGAGGATCTTATTAATTAGGGAAACATTGCGTGGGGCGCCCACAGGGTGCAGTGGGTGGACGCTGTCTCCATCCCGCCTCCGGGGGAATAGGGACACTGGTGCTAGCAAGCTGCCACCCACCAGTTCCCTGCAGGAATGGTGGGCAATTAACTCTGTTAATTGTGTGTTGCCCATAGAACTCCTCCACCCAGGGCCCACCTGTGATTTCCCTGCTCTCAGCCCCTCCCTGTGGAGGCAAGGGCCAGCATCCCTATCTCTCACCTCCATGACGAACTGCCCTGCGTAAGTGCCGGTCATTGTGGAGCTCTGTCCTGCTGCCAGGATCCCGATGCCCCAGATGTACAGTGCTGCTGCCCCGAAATAGCAGCCCAGGATGACACCCTGTGTAGGGATGCTCCAGTGAGCACTCTAAAGTGTCCCCTACCCAGGCATGCCCATCAGCTCCCAGCCTTCGGGTGGGGTTATAACTGCCCCAAGCCCCAGGGGTCGATGGGGAGTGTGCTATGTCCCCCGTGTGGGAAGGGATGCTCACTGGACACAGCCTGGTGGCACTCACCCCCTGGTAGATATCCACAGAGACTGTCTCGTTGTTGGTGGGGAAGATGCCAGCATAGTGACTGATGCTGCTGTTGATGCACTTGTTGTGCTGTAAGGCAGAGTGTGACAGCCACCCAGCAGCTCCCACAGACACAGGGGATCCCCACACAGCACCTCTCAGGGAATGAGAATATACCAGGGGATGCTCGTCCCACCCATGTCCACAGCTGGGCACAGCCATCATCTCCCTGTGGCCATGAGGTGACACTCACCACGTCCTCATTTCGCTGGTGGTAGAAAGCCTCGCCAAAGACAGCCATGACAAAGAGGTTGATGAGGAAGGAGACAAAGAGGGCCAGGCAGGACTCGGTCAGGAAATACATATTGGCCTCCTGCACTGCTTCCTTCTTGGAGCGGTCGATCAGCCGTGTCTGGGCACGGCCAGCGACATGGGTGTGAGCCCTGTCCCACAGCCAGGACCATGTGGTCCCCACCAAGCGTACCCTGAGGCACCCAGAACAGTGCCCATGGCAGTGCCTTGGCCTCACCTTGACCAAGGAGGAGTGGAGGAAGATGTTATGGGGCATAATGATGGCGCCGATGATGCCCATGGCCTGCAGCAGCTCATTTCGCCCACAGCCCGGGCAGCTGGGCAGGAAAATGCCTTTCAGCACCTCCACCTGCCTCGGCCTCACCACCACATACTGAGAAACAGGGAGAAGGGGCACTGTGAGCTGCCACCCCGCTACTACAGGCTGGTAGCAGTGGGGACACCATATGGCAGGGTCCCTTGCCACCCTTGAGGAAATGGGTTGTCCCCAGCTCCCCCCTTCACCTCATAGCCGAAGGTCAGGGCCATGATGGTGATGAGGAGGCCGAAGAAAGCCTCCAGTTTGCGGAGCCCTAGAGAGGTTGAGAGAAGGGGTGGAACAGAGCAGGGGACACTGGTGCCACATGGGCACCAGGGCTGCCTGGGTGACAGTACCCCCAGCCCTCATCCTGGCACTCACCGTACTTATCGAGGAAGAGGAAGAAGAGGGTGTCCACGACGGTGATAAGGACCCCACCCCAGAGGGGGATGCTGCAGGATGGCCAGGGCAGGATTAGATACGTGGCCCTCTGTGGAGTAGGGCCATGGGGGAGGCTGGAGGTCCCTGGGGGGAGGCTCACCGGCCAGCCGAGAGCAGGCTGAAAGCAATGGCTGTCCCGATCACCTCCTGCATGTCGGAGCCGATGATGGCGATCTCAATCATGAGCCAGAGCAGCACACGGGGCACCTGGAGGGGACGGGGCACCATGAGGTGCCTGAGCCCACAGTGGTGTGTAGCTCTGGGCAAGCTAGCACAGCATCCTGGGTGCAAATCCCCGTCTCCAGGCTGGAGCAGGAGAGCAGCCTGGGGACCCCAGAAGACCCCTCTCAGCTTCTTTCACAAAACAAACTCAGGATGAAAGATGGGTGCTAAATCCGAACCTGTTCCCCCACTCCTCATCCCTGCCCCAGTAAGAGCTGAGGATAGGACCCATCTGTCTAGATAGGGGGGTTTGAGGGAGGTGGGGCAGAGGGATATGTCCAACCCTCCTTCTGGGGACCTGTCATTCAGCCAGTGTCTCCTTGCTCGTTCCCCCCATCAGGATCTTGACACTTCAATGGAACCCCTAACTCCCCCCTCCTCTGCCATGTGAGCCCTCCTCTCGAGCCCCCCACCCCTTTCTGCCCCAACACGCACAGGCTTTCTCTCGTCTCAGTTTCGCGTTGCTGCCCCGACGCTGGGCTCACCCCGCGGGGGACGCTCTCATGTGTCGCCAGGTCAGACCGGGACACTGAAGCAGTGCTTGCCACCTCCCACCCTGCTCCCTGTACTAGAGGGGCGTGGGCACTAGGTGGGGGAGGCCAGGGCTTGGGGAGGCTTTGAGGAGCCCCTGAGAGAGGCAGGTCTCTCACAGCGTCTTCCCGCTCCTCTCCAGCCCTGCAAGTCCCTTCTAGGACTGCCACCAGCCCAAGCACAGGGTCCGCCCCAGACTGTCACCCCCATCCCCATGGTCGCTCACCTTGGGGTAATAGAGGTAGCAAATCTCGCCCAGGTCTCTCCCGGTCACCACGCCTAGACGGATGGCGAGGCGCTGGCACAGCAGCCCCAGGACGGTGGCCCACAGCAGCACCCACAGCAGCTGGGGAGCAGGAGGGAGGGAGGCAGCAGGGACTGGGTGCCGGGCAAAATCCAGCCAGCCGGGGGTCCCCAGTTCAACCAGGGTTGCAGGGAAGGAGAGAGGGGGTGCGGGTGCTCTCCCAGCGCAGTCAGAGGGGTGCCACTGGGTGTGCTCACCCTGTGCCGAGGCCCCCCTTGCCCTTCCTGCCCCCGGGCTGGGGAAGCCGGCTGGGGAAGCCATGGGCAGCCGTTGGCGCTGCAGAGGTTACGAAACCCCCGCCCGGGCCCGGAGCAGGGCTCACCTTGAACCCTGCCAGCGCCCCGCTCTGCAGGTCTGACTCCACGTTGCCTGGGTCCAAGTAGGCGATGCTCATGAGGAAGCCGGGACCGGTGAAAGCCCAGAGTTTCCTAAAGCTGAAGCCAGGCTGGGACAAGGCAGCAGGTCAGAGCCAGGAGCTCCCATTCAATTGCACAGCCAGCCCCCTTTAGCCCAGTGCTGCCCGCATGGGTGTGTTCAGCACATGGAGGTCATTTTCCAGCCAGTTTTGGAGAGGGAACTGCTGCCCCCAGCCTCTCCCTGTTCAGCAGCAGTGCTGGAGGGGCAGTGAGCCCCCTCTGACCCAATGGACAGTGATGAGCAGGGGGGTCCCGGGGCTGTCAGGCACTATTGCATTCCGTGAGACTGCTGTCCTCTGCTTTTGCTACTCCTCCTGACTAGGGAATACCATTCCTTCTCCTTCTGTGTTCCACTGCCCCGGGACCAGACAAGGATGGGGTGTGGGGGGGGCTGTTGGTGTGCAAGCAGCCTTGGGGTGCCCTACTGAGCTCATCTAGGGGTGGCCCAGGAGGTGGTGTGTGAGCAGTGGGGTGATCCTTGTGGCTGGGTAGCAGCTTGCCCCATTGTCTCAGTTTCTCCATTTGGAAAACTTTACGCATGGAAACACTCAACCTAGGGCTGTGACTTGCCTGAGCTGGGTCTGGGGTAGTGGGGGCATGTCCCTAGGGCATGTCCAAGACACATATTCCCCGCTGCAGTGGCCCTTTGCCTCCCCACCTCCAGCTCCCTGCAGCACTGTCCTGCTGCCCTGCCCTCCCTGAGCCAGCCCTGCAGCACCTACCCCGCTGCCCTTGGGGATGCTGATGAGCTCATCCAGGTAGGTCTGGTCCCGAGTGCCAGGGCGCTGTGGGGGCATGGGGCCCCCGTTCAGGGACCTGGTGAGGCCTGAGGGGGACAAGGAAGAGGAGAGCAGATGGCAGCCTGCCAGGGGGACAAGGACACTGGTGGGCTGGCAGCCCTGGTACCAGCTTCCTTCAGTCCCACCTGACCCTGCCTGATGAACCCATGAGGGGAAAGCACCAGTTTTCCAGGGGGAGCATGAGGATGGCTATATGGGATGTATCAAAGGCTACCCAAAGGGACCAGATGCCACCTCCAGCTCAGGTGCCCCTAAAATCCCTGGTCTGAGCCCCGTCTTCACCAGTCCAAGACCCAAGTGCATTTCTCCAGCAAGGACTGGAGGGGACCCTACTCCAGCTCCTGCTGCTGGATGGGCATAGAGTGAGGACAAGAAGCTGGTACTGCTCCTAATACCCCCTTTGCAGCCCACCTACATCCTGGGAATTGGTTGAATCACATTCCCAGGCTTGAAGGAACAGAGAATGGGACAGTTGGGGAATCCAGGACAGGCTGGGGGGAATGGTGCCCACTGAAAGCTGGAGCACAGCCAGGGGTCTCAGGGAGGAGGGAAGGGGGTCTAGGGGATGGAAGAAGTCACAAGGGGACCCAAGAAGTGTTGTGAGGCTCACCTGGCTCCAGTGATGCCATGTGTGGACCCGATCCAGCCACAGTGCTGAGGTGTCCTGAATTCAGCTGAGTGCAGCGCCTGCTGCCCAGCTTTTAAAGGACCCCCCCGCAGTTGTGTCATCCCTCCCCCCCCTCGGGAGGAGAGGAGGAGGATAGGAGAAGGAAGTGCTCCTTCCCTACCCTTATGGGCGCACACAGTCTCGGTTCCCCCCCCCCCCCCCCCTCCAGTGCCAGGAGGCCCCTTCCCTCCCCTTTGCCTCACACACGGGAGTGTGTGAGAACACGAGGCACTCTCACTGGGGCGTGGGAGCATGTCTGCCTCTCACTGACCATCACATGCCAAAGGTTCTGCTTGGGTGACTGGAGGGACAGGGGACAGTGTCCCACAGTGCGAGAAGCGAGGGCTGGCCCCACGGGAGTAGGGGAAATGCCACAGGAGTGGGAGTGAGGAGGAAGCAGGCACGTGTTGCATAAGGAGATCAAAATGCAGCCTTAGCTGCTGGGGGAAGCACACAGCCAGGCAGGCTCTGTGGCACAGGGTGCTCACATCACCCTCGGGTGCAGGGAGCTTCATGCCTAACATGGAGTGCTAGTGTTGCAGTGACAAGCTGTGCCAACAAAAGTGGGTACCCTTCTGCCAGCCAGGCCTTGTCCCACAGGGAGATGGGCAAGGGGTGTCCCCCAGGAACATGTTGGGGGGTGGCAGGCGCAGGGATGTGGGCCTGGCCCTGCTCCACAGTATGCCCCAGGCATCCCCCACCCCCTAAGCAAGGCCTAGAACAGCTGGGGGAAGGACAGGGTCCCAGCCAGAAGGCATGGTGGGGCTTCAGCACACAGCTCAGCTCCACCTGCCCTCCCTGAGCCTCAGTTTCCCCAAAGCAAACAGGACTGGACAGGCGGAGCCGGCTGCTTTATTTGCTGTTAGATGGAGGGTGGCCAGCTGGGGAGTTGGGGAGGGGGCTGGCAGCTCCAGTGGAGCCAAAGGGGCTCCCAAAGGGCCGCTGGTAGGCGAAGAATTCCGCAGCAAAGGAGATGGTGTCATGTGGCTGCTGGAGGAGCAATGCCTGGAGGAAGTCAGACAGCAGTGCCCGGACCTCGGGGTGCTGCTGGAGGTAGGCAGCATGGGATAGTTGCAGCTCGTCCTGCAGTGGAGGGACAGGATGGGCATGAACACACATTTCCCCCCGGGCACTGAGCCAAGGTGAGGGGGATAGGAGCCTGGGTCCTCTCCCACACTTAGGAAGGCGTGAGGAAGGCTGTTGGTCGGCCTGCTCCCTTAATGTGCTCCCTGGGCACACCAGGGGAGATCCTGCTGGAGACTGGCACAGCCCCATGTCCCCTTGTCCCCATGTCCACCCATCTTACCTTCCTGTCCAGGAAATAGCAGTAGAGCTCCACGTCCTCCTTCCAGTCCAGAGGTTGTTTGGGGAAGGGGAGCTGAGGCTCAAACCTGCCTGGCAGCAGAAAGGCAGGGCAGGGTGTTCCCCCTTGACTTCTAGACAGCGGGGAGGGGCTGCCTGTGCTGGGGGGACACAAGCCTTCCCTGCTCAGTACCTGACTTGCTGAGGATGGATTCATCCTGTAGAAGCATCAGCACTGGAAAGCCGATCTGCATCAGCTGAGCCAAACGCCTGGGAGGGGAAGAAAAGCCCTTGTGACCCCCCCATCCTGGGTGCCAGCAGACTGGCAGGGCTGGGGTGCCTCTGAGCAGCCCCCTGCCCTTACCCATTGGGGAGGAAGCTGCTGTGCCACACAGTGCGGGCGCCTGTGCTGGCGTGCACGGCTCGCTGGATCACGAACACCTCAGTCTCTGCCGAGCCCACTGCCTGCTGCTGGATGCCCAGGGCAGACTGGGGGCGGTACAGCCAGGGGTCAGCCTTGTCTCAGAGTCACCTCTGCCCCCAGCTGCCATCCCCACGTGTCCCCCCATACTGTCAACCACATTCTGCCCACTCCCACTTCCCACATCCCAGCCTGGTATCCCCAACCTGGCCCAGCCCGTGCCCATCCTGGCTGGCGGCTCACATAGCTGGCGGTGCAGAGGTCGCCCTCGCTGTTGATGGCTGGGAAGACAAGGTCGAGGGGCATTGTCTGCCGGCGTGCCAGCACCCGCAGCAGCAGGAGGCTGGCACCCTCCAGCAGCCGCGCCCGCAGCGTGGCCCGGCTGTATGAGAAGCTCTGGCACTGTGGCTCTGCCTGCAGAGAGACCTGCTACCTCCAGCATCCCAGGGACAGCAACCCCCGGAGCCTGGGCTCCCCTGGGAGTGCTGCCCCCTCCCAGGATGTGACCCTTCCCTCAACCTCACCCCTCCTTCCTGCAGTGTCTTTGTGACCGTCATCCCGTGCTCGTGGCTTACGATGTGGGTCGTCTTCTCTGTGGGATATGGTCTGAGCTGCGGGAGGGATGGGAGGCACAGGGTAGAGGGTAGAGCCAGGGCACCCCTCCGAGTGGCAACCCCAGCACCGCTGTCAGTCTGGGTACCATACCAGCTGCATTGTGGGAAACTCCCCACCCCAGCTGCCACCCAGAGGGGATGGCGACTAGGCTGGTGGGGCACAGCTGGAGTCTAAGCATGACAAGGGACACCAGACTACCCACAGCAGCCTTGCAGGGGGCACAGCCCCCAGGAGGGCACCACTGCAGGGCACACCCCAGGGCAGCGGGTAGGAGACAGGGATGGGGACACGCCACCACCATATCAGTCACCTCCAGGCACTCCTGCTCCTCCTGCTCCAGGGTCTCCAGCTGCCAGGTCACGTAGGCTGCCAGAGCAAAGCCATGCTCAACCAATCCTGTTGGCACTGTCCCCGTTCCCAGCCCTGGGGGCTGGTGCACAGGGATGTTCCAGCCCTGGGGAGGAAGGAACCCCCCAAAAGCCACCCCTGGCTCACCTTTGAGGGTGCTGGAGGCAGGAACACCATCCTGCTTGCCTCGGAACTTGGTTTGCACCAGGATGCAGCTCTGCACCGGCTCACCTTCCCGCTGGTAGGGTGCCCACTGGGCTGCCATCCACCACTGGCCCTCTGCCTTGTCCCTCGGTGGGGCCACCACTGCCAATGTCTCGGCAAACAGGCACCACTCCAGCTCCTTCAGCCCTGCACAGAGGGATGGTGACCCCAACACAGAGGGACCGCGAGCAGATGGTCACTCTGGTCACTCCCTCCCGAAGTGACTGTCGCCCCTGCCCAGTGCCCCTCCCTGTCTCCGTTCCCCCCCGGAGGCTGGGCCGAGTCCCTCGCCATTTATCCCGCTCAATCCCTCACTCTCCGTCCCCTCCTGCCGGGCCCGGTGTGGCGGGACAAGGGGGAGGCCGGAGGGGGCACGCACCGATGAGGCTCAGGAACTCGGCAGCAGTGTCCGCCGTGCCCGGGGTGTCCTGCGGGCTCTCGGGACGGGGCTCCATGCCTCGCCCGGGGGCTCCCGCTGCCGGACCCTCGGCTGAGGGGGCGGCGGGGCTCCCCCGAGCCGCGGTGCCCGTCCCACGCGTGACCCTGGGGCGGCAGTGGCGCCCACCCCGCCTCCGCAGCCCCCAGCCCCGGGCGGCCCCGCCGCTCCCCGGGCCCCCGGTACTCCCGGGCCCCCCGACGCCTCCCGTCTCCCCGGTAACGCCCGGCTCCTCCTCTTAAAGCGGCCGCGCCCCGCCGCCGGCTTTAGCGCCGGGGCGTCCCCACCGACGAGGAGAGAAAGGGACGAACAGGTGTAAAATCGATCCAGTCTTTTATCTGGGGCGTGGGGGTGATTGTGGCTCCGATCCCCAGCGAAGCAGCATCCCCCATACCCCAGCAGTGCCACTCTGTGGTCCCGTCCCAGCGTGTGTGTGCGTGTGTGTACGTACAGGGGGGCTCCGGCGTCAAGGATGGGGTGCTGGAGAGGAGCCCCTTGTCTGGAGGTAGTACTGCCGGCCCGCCGCCCCTTGCTGGCTCCATCCCAGCCCCCACAAAGGAGATGCACAACACTGGGGGCTTAAGGGAAGGGGGCTGAGTGGTGATGGTGGTGGTGGAGGGGAAATTGGAGACTCCCAGAAAAACGGGGGAGTGGGGGGGGAGGATTGTAGGAGAAGCCCTTGGTGCCATTCCTATAGCCCCAGCAGTGAGGCGGGGGGCTACAAAATCCCCGAGAGAGGATTGAGGTGCTTCTATGTGACAGCTGGTGACCCCCAAGTTCGAGGGAGCAAAGGCAAGGATCAGTTATGGGGTGCCCACTTAAGGGGGTGTCCACTCTTCCCCCTCCTCCAACCCTGCACCCCGGGAGGGAGATTCACAGCAAAACAAACCACACAGTCTTGGGCTCCCTGTGCCCAACCACCACCTGTGGTGGCCCTGTGGAAAGGGGGGATCCAGGGAGTGGGGGGAGATCTAGGTGGCTTGGTAGAGGTCCTTGCGCCTCCGCACCTCCTTGAGGACACGGGCACGAAAGGCGTCGAGGTCCTCCCCCTCGCCCTGCCACAGTCCCAGTGCGTCCTGCAGCTCCGGCCGGTGGGTCCGCAGGAAGGGGTTGTAGGTCTGCTCTTCCCCCAGCGTGGAGGGGCACTGTGGGGGCACCTGCTCAGCTCTCCTGCTGGAGGCAGCACCCCTGGCAGGGAGCTGGGAATGCCCCCAGAGCCCCCTGCCCTATGGCACCCACCATGCAAGAGGGTGTTAGGGTGCAGCATTCCTGCTAAGGCAGCCCCTTGAGGGGTCAGGGTGGTGGGTGCTGCACGCAGGGACCCCCATGCCTCACCGTGCTCTTCTTCTCCTGCCGTTGCTGCACTGCCCACTGCAGCTTCTGCTCCAGCGCGGAATTGTCCAGCTCCAGGAGGCTGGCGAAGGTCAGGCACTCCAGTGCATATTCGTGGCCTGTGGACCCCCATATGCAGCCCTTAGCATCACCCCCACCCAGTGAGGACCAGGGAGACACCAGCAGCGCTGCCCTGCTGTTGGGGACACTGACCTGGCCAAAGCAGCGTGTCCTCGCCCAAGCCCATGGCCAGGTCCAGGGAGGCGAGCATGGTCTCAGGGGAGCCTTCAAATGGCCTGCCTGGACCCCCACACAACTGCCTGTCATGGGGGGGGTCTGGGGGGTACCCCTAAACCCACCTCAGGATGGGGTAATCCCCCAGCCCCCTGTCTGGGGCTGGGTGCACTCACCACAGCCAGCAAGGAAGAGGAGGTCCCCGGAGAAGAGGCAGGGGGGGCTGCCGAAGGGGCCCCCGTCCAGCACATACACCATGTGTCCCACCGTGTGGCCAGGTGTGGCGAGCGCCTCGAAGGTCAGGCAACCCACGGTCACCTTCTCCCTGTCTGCAAGTGGGCTGTACCGGGAGCAGGGAGCGCTGTCAGGGTGCTCCCCCAGCCCCAGCACCTCAAAATGTGCGCCTCCCATGGCAACCCTTCTCGCAGGCTGGAGTCAGGAGCATGCCAGGACTCTGCCCAACATGCTACTGGGGGGATGGACTGGTGGGTGAGTGCTGCAGACAGTGGTGGTTGGGAATGCAGCTCCCCCCAGATTTACGGGGTGCTAGGGGGGTGTAGGACTTACTTAGTGAGCTGTGGGATGGCATCGAGAGCGCTGCCATACACCCTGCAGGAGTTGTGCTTCTGGCAGAGCGCCTCGTTCCCTCCGCTGTGGTCCCTGCAGAAAGGGAGATCAGAGACCCTAAATGTACCCCCCACTAAATGGGGCAGGGCTGGGGGCTGCCTCAGGTGGGGCTACCTTCACAGCAGCTACCAACCCTTCCAGGGCCCCCTCTTGCCCCTTACCAGTGTTTGTGTGTGCAGAATATGGCCTCCAGCATCACCCCCTCATCTTCAATGGCAGCCTGGGGAGGAAATATGGACAGAGAGATTAGGAGGGACAGAGAACCCAAATACCAGTTTTCCCCTAAACCCTGTCTCCCCCAGCTCCCCTGTCATGCTCCAATCTTGCCTTGGGCACTAATGGCTGCAGATTAGGGGCAGATTTGCTCGCCTTTAACCCTGAAATACAGACATGCCACTCTGTCACCTGGAGACAGCAAAACACCGGGTCAGAGTGGTTGTGAGGGTCTCACCTGTACAGCCAGTGGGTCAGAGGGGTCGATGACAGCTGCTTGGCTGGAGCCAGTGTCGATGACCAGGTAGCTGTAGTTGTTGGAGAGTACAGGAATGGGCAGGATTTTCACCCCTGGGGAGGAAGAGACAGAGTCAAGGCATAATCCCCCCTAGCTGGAAAAGGGGGAGTCCAGGTCAGACTCCCCACATCTTACATCAAATTCTTAGTTAAACGTGCTTCAGGCAATTCGGTGATGGCAATCCCTCCCCAGCCCAAAGTGCCAGTGCTGGGGGACACCGCAGAGAGTGGTGTGGCAGAGGCTCTCCAGGACTCACCAGGGAAGCAGTAGGGCTGGGGCACGGAGTGGCCGTGCGGATACCGCTCCCGGGCCTTCTTCACCTGCCGCTGGTAGAAGAGGTAGCCCAGGCGTGTGCGGGCGTACAGGCTGTACCTAGGGAGGGCAGACACCCCTAGGCATTAAACCCCAGTTCCCCATACAAACCCACTTGGGAAGGGGGCTACTGCCGGGGCTGTGACTCCCGCATACAGGGCCACCTTCTCATTCGGGAGGGCTTCAGGTGGTGTGTGTGTGTGTGTGTACTCCACACCCCAGATGCGTAGTGAGTGCAGGATTGGTTCCCCGAGCAGGCACCCTCCAGCTATTTCAAGCAGCAAGGACTGGGGGGGCATTGCTGCGGGGTGCTCAGCAGGAGGGGCTGGAGCTGGCTGTTCCCATGCTCCGGGGGGGGACATGCCCAACCTTACCATGCTCCGGGGAATCAGAAAAGACAATGGGCCGAGGAAAAGGGAGGCAAGAAATGGCCCCGTGGATGTGGGTGTGCAAAAGGCATCAGGCTGCGGGGCTCGGAGGGACCTCCCCGTTTGCACAGCAGCGATTTGGGACGGGACGGGGAATGGTGCAATGACAGACATGTAAAGACCCGGGTTGCAAAGTCCATTCCCGGCCGAGGGCGCCCCTGGATGGCACACCGGGAGCGATCCCTGCAGTAGCCGGGCTTCCCCGCATCTGCGGCGGTGGGAGCCCGAAACCGGGGAGCAGGGGCTCCTGCCAGCGCCGGGTAGCCTGACCACGGCCGGGGCACCGGGGCAGGTCAGCGGTGACACCCGAGAGAAGGCGTCCCGGCACCGCGCGGGGGGAGGCGGCGCCTGATCCCCGGCCCGGCGGCCGAGCTGACACCGGCCCCGCTCCCCGGCCGGAGCGGGCTGAGCCCCAGCCCGGTCTCCCCGTGCCGGCGCGGCCGCGGGTTCCTCCGCGGGCGGCTCCGCACAAGCAGGGGAGGGTGGTGGGCCCTCCCTCCCGGCGGCAGCACAAAGGCGGGCGGCGGTGGCTGCCTCCCTGCGGGGGTCCCGCAGCGGCGACCGCTCGCTCTTTCGCTCGCTCGCTCACTCACCCCAGCCGGAACAGCAGCGGGGCGGCGAAGGCCATGAGCGCGGCGGCGGCGCGGCGGACGCGGCGGAGGAGGCGCAGGCAGGCGGCCCCGAGCCCGCGAGCCCCGGCCGCTGCCGCCGCCGCCGCCGCCGCCGCCCCGCCGGGCCCCGCGGCCATGCCGCCAACCGGCGTCACGCGCCCGCCGCGCCGCGCCCCCTGCCGGCCCCGCCGCCGCGGCACCGGGAGCGGAGGGGGGGGGGGGGTCACACGCCCGGGGGACACACAGCGCTCGTGTCACCCGCCGAGGGGAGGGGATTCCCCCCCGCCGCTGCGAGAGGTGTCCCCCCTTGACGTCACTGCGTGAAGAAGGGGGTCCCTGAGTGACGTCAGAGCCGGCGGGAAGGAAGTCCCGGGGGGACGGAAAAGGACCGGCGGGGTCCCGGGAGAGCGCGCCCCGGCGCCGGGCCGGGTGCAGGGCGCGGAGCCGCCGCGGGGGGGCGCGGCGGGCGGTGCTGCCCCGCCCCGTCAGAGCCGGCCCGGCCCGTCCCGTCCGGCGGGGCCGCAGCCCGGCGGAGCAGCGCGCAGCAGGTAGGCTGGCCCGGCCCGCTCCGCGACCCCGCCGTGCCCGGGTCCCCCCCGCCGCCCCCGCCACCCCACTCGTTCTCTCGGCGCTCACTGGAGCGGGTAGGGGCACGTCGGGTTGGGGTCCGGCGGCGGGAGGAGAGGGGACGGAGCGCGGTCCCGCCAGGAGGGACGCGGCGGAACGGGACCCCTACGCGCGGGGTCCCTCTCTAGCACTGGTGCTGTTTTCCGGACCCCACTCGATGGCGTGGCAGGGAATCGGGGCGTGTGCGGGGTGGTTCTCGGGAGGGCAGCGATACTTCTGCGATGGAGGGTGCCACGGACCCCGTGGGGTGTCTCGGGAGGGGTCGGCACGGCTTTGTGCTTGGCAAGGTGTGGGGTGACATCATGGGGATGCGTGGGGACCAGCACTGCGCAGTGTGGGGGTGCCGGGGCTGGGGCACAGCAGGACGCTGCTGTCCCATGTCTGTGCCCCCGGGAGAGAGCTTGCAGAGGGGCAGGGATGTGGGAGAGGCGATGCTGAACCCCAGCAAACTTGTGTCGTGTGTGAGCGGTGTGGGCCAGTGGGGACATCCAGCCTGGGTGGGATGTACTGACCCTCTCACGTCAAATGAGC